CGATGCAGAAGGCAAAATCGGGTTACCAAGATGGGTAAGGCCGTGGGTGGATACAAGGGGGGCGAGGATGAGGTGAGGCCCACGGCCAATGCAATTGCATTATGGGAGGGGTTGGGTGTCGAGCACGGAAGCAGGCCAAGGGCTAGAGCCCACTTCCATGCTACAAGCGTCGCCCAAAGATACTAGGCTGCACTTGCGCATGCACCCTCTGTAGAAACGAAACAACGGAACAGAACGCATGTTGTGTTGGGGTACTGCAACTTACCACATTCAGAGTTAGCACGGCGTATATTTTAATAGCTCCGTGGAAATAGCCGAAGAGGATGGACACCGGCAAAAGGATAACATCAACCGGGTAACGGATGTAATGTCCGAGAAGTTTGATGAACTTGCTAATAAACATCCACAGTCCGAGAGCTTGCATAGCTAGCGCGTGCGTATCATTGTCCCAAGAAACCGTAGCCTTGTGACATAGTATAAGGAGCAATAAATCGCCGAGGAAAGCTGGCGGCGAAAGCGTCGTCAAGTGAACAGCGTATGCGCTCCAAGGCTGGCGACTAGTAATACAGTAAACCAAGCGTTAGCGTGCGGATCAGACAGACATTTACAGTAAGCGGCCTAACGAAAAAAAAAATTTTCCACAGTCGGATACCAAGACTAGGAACGACCCAGCCTTCCAAGGCCGACGGCCAGTTCCTTATGCCTGAAGAAAGATCTGGGAAATGACAATCGGAATGAAGGGAAATACCATCCAACGGCGTCGTTGACCAACGATGTGGGAGGCAAGCAGGGTTTGTGAATGAAAGGCCATTCGATAACAGGAGATAAACACTCATCCCAGTGTGCATTGTACGCACGCTCACCAGACAAGTCAGATAGGGTAGACTTACTACCAGATGTGTTTTTCGTGGAACATGCTTGTAAGGTTGCTCCTCCAGTTGCTTCGGGACCAGCGCGCGCACTGCTTGAGAAACTTGGGGTTGTCTTCCAGAGTTGTCAAGACCTCCGCTTCAGGATGATATTGCATGTAAGTCTCCCAGCCATGCGACACCATCCAACGGGTAATGAAATTGTCGTCGTCTGCGTTCAATTGGTACTTTCCGAACCACCATTCTTCGTTGGTAAATCCATACGTGAATCCCTCATTCTGAAGGATATCTGTTCTGTATGCGACTGTCCGGCCTGACATGCAGGGAAGTCCACCGTCAATATGCGTTGTTGCCGCACAATCGAAGTTTCTTCGTTCCAAGTAAAGTGCACCCAGAAATCCCCATATGCGTTGAGAGAATGATGGCGAAACAGCCCGTCTCAGACGTTGACAAGTTACCACACCACCGAATCGCTCATCCTTTTCGAAAGGTGCTAGCATCCAAGGGAGGACTGTGCGTGGCCAACTCACGTCATCATCTGCGAAGACCGTGATAGTAGTCTTGACTTCAGGGATCGCTCTAGTCATTTGTCGGCGCTTGTTGGGGTGAGTAACGGTGAACAAGCGGATTCTTGACTTCGAAGCGGGCATCAAGCTCAGCATGTTCTCAGCTTTTTGTCGATTCGCTTCAATGGTGACCAAAAGGAGTTCGTAGGGCTGAGTGTCGAGAATCGTTCTTATGGTTTCCACGAGTTCATCACCACATCCCTCTAACGTTGGTAAGATAACCGTTACATCTTGGGCAGTCAACTTCGGATTCTCCGGCGGAGGAATTGGTTTGAACGTCCAGAAAGAAAAGAGATTCACAACAAGACGGAAGTAGCGATACAAACTATATATCAGGAGAGTCAGCTAGAGAGATTCGATACAATCAGATGTCCAATCACTGGTGATACATCAAAAGTAAGCTCCAGGCTAGTTCAGGTCAATACTAACAAGAGGGCAATAAATGCTCGCATGAACGGAAACTCCATGATTGAAGCAATATGATCAGGCCTAGGATTACACTCCTCAAGCCAATTGATTACTTCGGTCGCTATAGACTTCACTCCGAATTTCGTCCCCGATCTCTCGCCAATGCTGGATCAAGCTACAGACACCGGGACTGGCACTGCGCACTGTGCTCACAGGGGCGCGTTATCGGGGGATAGAGAAAATGACGAAAATTCTGGGCACCGCTCTGCCAGCATAAAAGTTTTGTTGATAATTGACAAGTTGAGGAGAGGAGAGATAGAGAGAATATGGGTATATGGTCTCCTAGTAGGATGAACAGAATAGGAGGACGGAAGTAGAGGCAGAGAAAGAGAAAAGAAAGGAAGAAAAAAAAAAAAAAAAAGAAAAAAAAAAAAAAAAAAAAAGATAGAACAGGATGAACGAATGTCTGGGTATAAAGATAGCCCAAGACCTCGTCAGGAAGTTCTAAGAAACTGAAAGACCAGCTCTGAGGTCAATTGGCTTCACAGAAGATGAGAATGTCTATGGGCGAACATGCAACATTGGGGATTCTTATTTGTTGCAGATGGAGTCGATGGCACGGAATGGCAGGGAAGGCACATGTTCAAGTCCAGCATCCAGACAATGGATTGAGCCAATCCCTAGAGAGAAATATAAATAAGTTACTTGTGGGCTCCAGTTCCTTTGTCATTTTGAGTGTCATGCAGGTGTATTTTTGCCTCGTGCGTCAGAGACCCTGGATCTAGATGGACTGATGGAGGATAATGCGGGTGGAGAAAGGATTGGCGGCGGTCCATGCAGCTACTGTGCAGTCCACTGCAGTGACATGGGCCAGAGAGGGTGGAGACTGCTGATGGTGTGTGGGTGTGTTTTCTAAGGCTAAAGTAGGAGCTAAAGGCACGTTAGTGGGCGTCTCCGAAATTCGCAGTGGTTTAGCTGTGTTGGGGCCTTTAGGGGTGTAGTATTTCGTACTAACCGGTCCGTCCTAGTACCTCCTTAGCACTATCTAGTCCACTCTGTTCTGCGCATCCTGCCCGGGACGCTGTAGACTTTCTAAACACGAGAGTCATTATTATGGAGTAGGCACAGTATCTCCTCGTACTAGCCACCTCTCCCTAAGGTACTTTTACCAGAGCGAAGCTTGAGTAGAGAAATGCCTCCCTCCTTTCCCCTCCACCGTCCATGGTCATACACACACACTTTCCTCCCCTGCAATAGGATGATACATTCTCCATCTTCGCTTTCTGGACTTACTTCCCCTCTTTACTTCTTCCTTGGTTTCTATTTTTCATTTTTTTTTATCTTGGTTTATTCTATCATTCTGTTTTGTTTCCTTTTCTTTTCTTTTCTTTTCCGCCTCTTTCCTTCCCCGGTCAAGGTGGACTGAATAGATGGAAAGGGGCAAAGTATACAGAGTCATACGCAAAAAAGAACCCTAAATGGGAATAAACAAAATTCATAATCATTTAAGTATAGGATATTGAGAAAAATGATCAAAATGAAAATAGTAAAAATCAGACGGAGAAAAACAAAAAACGAAAAGGGAAAAGAAAAAAAAAAAAGATTGGATAAACCTAACATAAAATCATCGGTGGCTCATTCATCATTCCCGATGGGCAAGTGACGCCGATGAGCCGACAGGCAAAATCACCTAGATAATACTTGGTAAGAGGTGGTGGGGGGGGCAGAGTTCGTTTGTCGGCTGGATGATCAACCAACAAGGATAAAGAAAAAAAAAAAAAAGAAAGAGGAAACGGGAAAAAAAATCTCACTTGTTTCCGAATTCCATGCGTAATTTAACGTCTATGTGAAGAGAGATAACATGCTCCCCCTATTGAAGCATTACCATTAAATCCGAATTAACATGTCAAGCTTGCTATCATCATGATTTCCCGGGATGTTCAAAGAATCAAAGGAGAGAATGGCCGCTACCGAAATTGAATCAGAGCTGTTCCATACATGACAGTGACGACATAGTAATTTCTTCAAATCATCATTCGAGGAGTCCGATCCTGTAACAACATACAATTTCTAATTCTATCCAGGTGCAGATTGCTGCTGCATACTACCTAGTGGCATTGTGAGAACTAAAATAGCCAACATAGCAGACCATCGGCCTAGACAAGAAGCTCCGATCGGGAGGAAAACGAATGGGGAAAAAGAAAATAAATGAAATAGTTGTCAGAGAGGACAACAAACCTTTCCAGAGGTCGGAAATTATGTGGAAATAATTGAGGTTACTAGTTTACATATTCCCATCTCACCCTCAGGATTCTTTTCTTATTATGTTGAGGGCATCAAGATAGTGGTTCTCGCAACTAAAGGGGAAAGAAAGGCATTTGTTTTATTCATGGCACATGGCATCTTGTTTTTTTCTTTTTTTGTTAATTTATTTTTAGCCCGTACCGATCAGCACAGCTCTTTGAGCCTCCCAAGCCCATAATAATATTGAAGGTCAGCCGGACAAAGTTATGTTAACTATGGTAGACTAGGCGATGATACTGCGACCATGGAAATGGAAAGGGAGAAAGATAAGTACCCATCCAAAGTTCTTCGGGAATTTTGAGATAAAGGTCCCTAGGAAAGAAAATGACCCGAAGACCGAATGACCATTTCCCACCACATTCCAGACGTGAATCTCTTCATCTTCTCGTACTTACTTAGCATCTCTAGATGGTAGTGGTAGCTTTTAGCCATTAAATTACAGGCCAAGCACAGAATCTCGCATTTTGGAATCCCACTTGTTGCAAAAGGCGAACTATCTCAAAGCGAAGAAACGGTAATAGCTATGTAACAAAATACACTGAACGGGACTGCGTGCCTCGCTAAGCAATTCCAGATACTGCGCACTAGGCTACAATTTTGTCAACAGGTTGTCACACACGCACACCATCCCCCATGCCCCCTCCAATATCGAGGGCAGCTGTCCATCGCGGAGAAAACAGATATTTGCCTAGAAAATATTAATCCATGGTGAAGTTCTACTTGACATTGAATTCATTTTGGTATACATGGAATAAGTGATACTTGGAAAGGGCGAAAAGCGAAGAACGGGCCCCCCTAAACACCACTGACAGTGTGCTGGGGAACTTTACGCACAATACAGAATCGGTGGTAGCTATGGCCTCATTGGCCTCAAACCAAAAACGTTCAGGTTAACGGTGATCCTAGCGGCGATCTCCCAACCCCGTCTCATTAAAGCCCACTACCTGCACTCGTTGCCTCCCACAACCAGTCGCCCGCTAAATAAGAATGGATCACGAAGCTTGGGTGGGGTTTAACATTAACAAATGCTGCCATAGGCTGGAAGTAATACGAAGTCGAGACCATTCCCCAGACAGTGACACACCACTGTCTCTCAGCTAGTAATGTCATGACCCATAGCATGGTCGGCTCCGAGAACATGCATTTATCAGCTGAAAGTTCATCCGAGACAGAGGTCTCTGGCCTACCAAATCAGAATATGGCTATCAACTCTGAGCCATGATATTATTTTTGAGTAGCTGGAATTTATCTGTACGCTGTAAGGTATATCATAAAATAGATTCCCTTGAGTCACAGTCCCGAGCAGTCATGTGCTTCGGAAGATCACAATAACATAGCTATTCACTTTTCCGGAGCACAGCTCCTGCACATGTGCTCTTGTACAAGAATGCTGGTGTTGCCTCACAATTTTAACTCGCGAAGTTACTGGGGCCGCATATGACCAAAGCGGCATTTTTATGGGCTCTTCGGCCAACCGTCCCTCCCCACCCGGTAGACACGGAGTTCCGTATGCAGCTTGTGGCTTGCTTAGTAGATCTCAGATATCTATGGAGGTTATGCGTCTCGCTTGCTAACGATCGACTACTATCTCGCCATCAACCAAATTTGGATTAATAGCCATGATTTGTGTTCGACTGGTCTTAGCAGCCGTCGTGGGACTATGATTTGGACATTTATTATGTGAATCCTGCCAGTAGCTCTTCACTTACGTACACTGACACAAGAGTACCCTACTCAGATAGCTTAGGCGTAACCAACAATTACTACTTCAGCAGTAGTGCCATGGACGGATTCAGGGCATAGAGAACCAAACCGTGTAGTAGTAGTACTTGGTACTAAGTACTTACTTAGTAGTAGTAAGTTGACTCTCGGGCTTCTCAACCAATCATCTATGGGACCGCTGTAATCTCTTCGAGAGCATGGATAGAGACAATAACTCCACATACACACGATTAGCATCGCTAGTAACAATGAACGTGCGGCCCGAGCTCTATTCCCCAATAAAGACTTGACTCGCATGGTAATATGTCAATGTTATCTTGGCATCGAGGACGCGTGCTGATGGAACCACGGCCAGCCATCATACGGGCTGCTCCTTCGCAGTTATTGGTACAGATAACCCACCAGCCTTAGTGGCTGCAGATGATAATCAACCCTCCTGCAAGTCACCTTAAACGGCTATGTGCCCCAAGGCTAGGCCGGGGCTCCTCCACTCAAGCAGTGCTACACCCTACCGTCCGGACTAGAACGAGGTTCGGGATTCTAAGCTAAATGATCACCTAACTAGCAATAAGCAGCTAGCAGGAAGATGGTGAACACACTCTACATGATGTAGTATGTCAACGTGCATACAATACCATAGTAAAAATCTCACAGATTGTTAGTTCTATTCTCCGTGAAGAGACTCATATTGACCTAAGGACAAGGAGAATATTGATGCAATTGCCTAAGGGGTTCAGATGGGGAGTTTTCCCCTTACTAGTTTGGGAAGGTGAGGTTCTATTGTTCCAATATACTGACATAGATTGATGCGCAATTTACATGTGGTATCTTTACAAGGGTTCATATTAAGCACTATCGGTCCCCATGCTTCATATGGAACTGCTCCGTCTCGATCCGTTCACCATAAGCTAGTAGACTAGACTATAAACAAGGCGACGTTGCATTGCTTTGACAATTTCCTAATTGTATTCCGTCTTCCTCCGCGGCCCTAGTACCAAGTTCGTATAGTATATTTCTAGGCCTCTCTGCAGAGTATGGAGGGCGTTCTCCAATGTGTACATTCGCGTGGTTACTGCTGTCAGGATATGATTTAGCTCCTCGAAAAAGCAGCCACATACATGCATAACAATCTTCTAGGTAACTGAAACAGACGCGTACCTATCTCGGCTGCACGGACATTACTTGCCTCCGCCGAGCTCCCCACCCTCACCCGGGAATGACCGAGGATCCATTCAAACGCGTTCGGAGCAGAACTGCTACTGTGTATTTGAGTGCTAAGGTAGTCCGGGATTTTAGCGCAGGCTGTCTTGTCTGTCTTTATAGGATTTTCTATCCCTTTTTTTTTCCCTTGTTTTGCGTGCCCCATACCAAGATAATACTGACCTGAAAGGAGTAAATCTATAGTAACTTATGTCTTTGTGTAATTTGTTGGCGGTTTCATGAGAGAGGAGGCGTATACTTATTCCGCCGGTCGGCCAAATATCCCCTGCGGTCTCCCACTAATTGAGGGAAGGAGGAAAGTTTGCAAGTGTCAACAGAAAGCCACAGGATAGCCCGGAAGAATATCACACCATTACTTTGACCTACCAGTAAAACCCCACAATCTAAACGAGTTAGTACTAGGTGCCACTGCATAGTAAAGTGCGCGTATTAGCCGTTCCCATAATCTCCGGGCTGAATTCTACGACTTCATGCGTAGCTTCAAAAGAAGATATTACCGATCACCCTTGAACAGGATAGGGGGGGGGGGAGGGTGGGTGAGCAACAATAATAGCGAATACCTGTAATTCTTCCCGTGTACAGCGAGGAGCTAGGTGCTCCACGATTTCGACGCACTGTTCAGCCGACGCTCCATATCAAAGTCTGGAACCGTCGACGGCAAGATTATCCATTGATATCAACCTAGTAAGTAAACTTACTACCTCTTACCGTAAGACTAGTAGGGCATAATCCCGTTTCCATAAGAGATGCGGAAATGTCATGCAGCTCATGCCGTCAATCGGAATGTCAGCCGTGTGTGTAACTCAATCATATACTTAGTACCATGCTACTCTTAAGCCAATATAATGGTCAAAACCTCCAAAGGGCTTGCTCTCTTTTTGTAATCTGACAATGTAATGTGACGAGAATAACCCAAGCACTAAGCGAGCATTACCGTACTTTCTGCACAAGTTTGAATACAAAGGCAGCAGGGAAATCAAGGGAGGGGGGTGGTTCGGGCTGGGTCTAGTTAGTCTAATAGTCATCAATACTACCTACCTACTATGTATGGACTTGTAGTAGTAATTATTACTACTTAATACGGCGCAAGTTGGCATGAAGACCGAGGAGGCAGAGTCTCCACTCCGAGCTCCTTAGGCTGACTCTCCCAGAGAATTAGTCGCAGGAGGTAGCGGACTGTGCACAAGTTAGCGCGGGCTGTTTCCTCTTGTACTGGTGGGAACTGTTCCATACCGTCCGTAGACTGGGGCGCCTCGGCATGGGGGGCAAATCTCCGCTACAGCGTTGTGGTTCGCTTACCCGGACAGCAGGCAACTTACTTACCTTGCTAAGGAGCTGTGCCGCTCCCGCTAGTTAGTCTACTACTCGTAGTCTACGTGTTTGGCGGCGACGGGCGACACACTGGGCTGAGACTGTCCTGTGCTTCCCAAGACACAGCCCGCCCGCGCTTTTCACCATTTGTAAACACTGCGCGCACCCCCACCACTCCCAGTCAGGATGAATTGATTTCCGTCCTAAGGGATCAGACGACGCAGGAGACTCCGGCTATCTAAAGATAGCAAGCTATTAAGGAGAGAGGTAGTGACAAGTCGTAGTAGTTGAAGTAGCAAGGGGATTAGGAAAAGTGCGGATTCCGTCTATTGTAATGTGTAGATAACTATTATCATTGTTATCATTTTTCCCGCCCGTGCCCTCCCCGGACATCACGGCAGAACCCTCAGTTCGCCCCCTCTTCCACAAACCTACTCGGGTGATATTATTATTGTCTGGTAGACTACTCATGCTAGTACGGAGTACTCCAAGCTCCTCTAGTTTAGTCGCATCTTACGGCAGGACGGACTGCCTAGGTAGGTAGGAGTGGCGGATATTTGTGGAACGCTGCCGTGCTATCATAGGCTGAACGCGGGAGTCGACGACCTCGCTCTTGGTGGCCCGTGTGAGGTTCGGCTGCGGGCCTGAAGCTCGGCCAGGCCATCCTGCTTACCCACGGAAAAGGCGTTAGCAACGTTGACTACTGCACCACTTCTGCAGCTAATCGAGTCAATCCAGCAGCTAAAACTAGGCATGAGCTAGATTTCCACTGGACTAGCCTCGTTTAAGTGACTTCTATGCCGGTTGTGCGAATACTACTACCCGAATAGTCACTCGGGCTTGTTTGGCTTGATCAAGCCTCCAGGAGAATCAAAAGCAAATGCTCTGCGTGGCTTTCACGGGGTGCAGAACGGAGTTTCCGGAAGGAGTCCGAAACTCATGAAGGTAAGAAGCGAGTATTGTTGTTGTTGTTATTATTATTATTATTATTATTATTATTATTATTATTATTATTATCATCATCATTATTATTATCATTGCAGTCTTTATTATAATGATTATTATTTTGCCTATGGTTACTGCCACTAGGTTGAGTATCACGACCCGCCGATGCTTCTCCTGCACAGCCGTTGGGGCCAATTCGGCGCAGCAATATCAACAATTGAACTATCCTTGGACTGAGTCTGTGGCTGGCTCTGTGCAGCAAGCCAGGTTCTGATCTCAATGACATGCAAGCACCCCTATGCAGAAATCGCCTACAACATTTGTGCGATCTTTAGAAACGCCATGAGCTGCAGCAATGCCTCTATACTACCCATAGAATTATAAAAGTGTTCTGGATGGGGTTGGTCAGTCCACTGGATGGGGACTGTGCTACGCGAATAATTATCAGCTTCCTGTGCTACGTGACTTTGTCTAATGACACAGACTGACCGTTTCTCCAACACACACTTCTCTCCCTCCCTCCCTCCCTCCCTCGCTCTCTCCCTCCCCGACAACATATGATAACAAAACACTCATCGACCTCCGAAACGGGCGGTCTTTTCCTATGGCACTTAAGGGACTAGCATATGCATCATGAGGTCAGGGAGTTACAATGCCTTGCACATCATTCTCTAATGCAGTCAAGGTTCCGAACAAACATCTTCACCCCTGCTCTATCCTAGGTAGTTCGGAAATCCAGTACCCGCTAGTTACTTGCATATAGTGGCACTGATTTTCAAATTTATGATGTCAACTTCCCTCCCCTCCGTCCCTCCAGCTCAAGCAAGGCAAGCCCCCTCAGCGATCAATCGGATGACTTTGAGGCTCCCTTGTTCTGGACCAGGCCTATTGGTAACATAAGCATCCCCAGGCAATGACGGGGATGCAGACCATGCTTCCCCCCGATACACTAATGTGTGCGTATCAACAGGGTACACCCTCTCTTCCCCAAGCCATTTCTGCATGTGTCTTTCTAGAACATCTCCACGGCACCAACGGTGTTCTGTCATGCGTGTAGTCTAGTAGCTTGTATTACAACCGGCAAGGATGTATATGGCGATCCTTTTTAATTCATAAAACGCCTTTGTCTGGGTTATGCGCTTCTATATCATCATTCGTCTTCTATGCCTAACTATGTCACAGCTATTAGTTTCCTGTCTGTGACTCTGATAGACTGCTAGCTAAGGTGACCAGGCAAATTAGAATGATCGAAACACATTGCCGTATTACGCGTTTTTTTACTGTGTCAAACGGCCTTGAAGGAAACAATTCCTTGCTTACTCTTCCAGGGTGTAAATTGCGAACATTCCTTGAACGTTCACTAAGACAGAGTTACATGCATTGGCTTGCGTTTACCGGGGCAATGTAAGGCACAGAATGGCG